TTTAGTGGTTAAACAAGCTTTTTCGGCTTGGGGTGTAGGGATTGGGGTTTCGAATTGCAAGTTTTGGAAGTTTGCACAGGTTAGTGGTTGAGGAGTTAGAGCTCTTATGGTTTGCAGGCTGAGGGTTTGATGTGGGGCTTGGATTTCAGGATCAGGGTCTGCCCGGACAATGGGAATCTTCCTGGCCGTCTTAGCCTTATTCTGCGGCTTTGCACCATCTGTTCACACATCCTGGGTGTGCTTGCGCCACTTAGCGCTCCTTTTGTTAATCATCGCCTTCAAGACCTGCCTGCAGACGCGCTAAGAAGCCGGAAGGAAGTGGAGGCAGGATCTCAGTTTGCGGTTTGAAGCCGAAGCCTTACACTTGTTTCTTCTTGTCTGGCTATGTGGTCGTGGCCATCACGTCCCCTTCATCTCGGGACCATCATCAGGCTTGGACAACCTAGACTTCTCTTGTAGGCCGTACATGCACGCTAGCACAAAAGCTGTCAGCAATAGTGCTTGGCACCTTTCGAATGGTGTATTGGATGTCATCCGAATGCATTGGTTTGCGCCAATACCACGAAACGCCAGAGAACATCCTCTGGCTGTCCATGCAATGAAACCAAAAAACGATATTCCCGATGAGCCTCTGACATGGCCTTTAGCACAGTCCGCTTTGCCCGGCTAAGCCCCCTGGCTAAAACTTCTTCATCAGCTTCGCATAAATGCAGCTGTCTACTTGGAGGTTCAGGGTAATTCTAGCCCACATAGAATTGTACTTACAACCCAAGTCTAAGCCCCTCAGTCCTCCAATGTGGTTCTGATCTGGGCTATAAGCACCAGCTATGCCTGGGTTGTAATTACAAAGACTTGAATTCCCATATCTCCCTAAGAAACCCAGTTTCCTTTGACTTTAGAATTTTCCCATGTGATTCTCCATTATGGGTTATTGTTACGTTGAACCTCCGTCCATTTCGCAGGAGCCCATTGCTCTGGAGCCAGTCGGCATGGCGCCGCAGCAGGCAGCACCGGGATTTCAGGGTTTAGCGTTCCATGGCATTAAAAGTTTCGGAATACGAGGTGAGAGTCTGAAGGTCATGGTTTCGGGTTTAGGGGTTGCAGGGGTTTGGAGGTTTTTGGGTTTAAAGGCGGTGTTGGTTCTAGGGCCTAGGGTTTGGATCACGGTCTTTCCCGAAAGGCCTGGGTGTGCGCGCAGTATGCACCAGATCGTACTCAAATGGGTCGGCAATTGGCTAAATAGCTGGTACATTTTTTTGGGTTCGCCGCGTGTGATGACTCCTCAAAGCCACATCTTCGAACTATTTAGCTGACTCCAGGCCCATGTAAGTATGGTAGGCGCTGCCATTGCATGCATATTGCTGTGAAGGGGTATCGCCTGACTTTCCACTACGCCCTGGTTCTTTTGGATGTCGGCCTGCTTGCCTCTTGCTAGAAGAAACGTAGGAGTGTCTTGTTCGGCTTATGTAGGGATAGGACAGAGATCCATAGTGGTCTTTCTCGAGACGATCTGACTATCTAGTAGTTATCTCCTGATAATCCCCACATGCCCGAAGTTCCCGAAGTCAACCCTGCTTCGCGAAGACCCCAGATTCTGTTGAACTGACACAGAGGCCCCAAAACCCCAAACCCTCAGCGCCACAGGCAAGGAGACCAATGGCATACGAGCCCATTGCTCTCCGGCATGAGGCTGATGTTGGGGGTTTCCTGGATTTGTGGGTCTCCTGTTGGGAAGTCCCTCCATGGTAAGGCAAGGATTGTAGTATACTTTGGGAAGCCATGCTTTTGGAAAAAATCATGCCGGGTATGGGGATGTTGCTTTCCTTTCTTGACGCATGGGCATGAATACCAATGTGTGTGAAAAGCGGCCGTGCGGAAGGCTAACTTAGTTTCTGCCAGGACCCCCCAAATCTGACGTTGATCCACGCAAGTCTATAGATCACGTTCGCATAGCACACAGTTACCACAGCTCCAGTGTTCCCGTCATCCTAGGCCCCAAACTCCAAGCCCTAGAATAAGTAGACGATAGCTACAAGTGTCCTTCCTGGGGTAACCACAAGCCTCTAATTAAAAGCCCCAAGCTGCACACCTTTCAAAGTGTGCGCCAGAGTCTACTTGCAAGTATTTCCTAGCTATGCCCCTTATGTACTCCAAAATGTCGGGTCCTCTTTACAAAGACTTTGAGCAGGTTGTAGGATTTAGGTTTTAGGGTCCCGTGTGTTCGAAATCTTTCTAAGTTAGCAGCTTCGTTTGCTAACCTCAGCCCTGCGAAATCAAGACCCTCAAGGCTATCGTAGGCCTAATGCCTATTTAAACACCGAGCCGATGATCTCCCGACCTAAGCCCCGAAGACCTAAAGTCCGAAGCGTCCTTAATGCCAAGTAAGAAGAGAAATAGAAGCAATGATTGTGGTAGTAAGAAAACTAATAACCACAGTGCAAATGATAGCAATAAAAAGAAGAGCAATAGTGATAAACAAGAGTAGTAATAGTAACACTGTGACTCTACACAGTCCTGGTTTGGGGCCTTGAGGTCGTCAATTTGCGCGAAGCCATGAGCTAGTCTTTTATGCTCACTACTTTGAAGATTTCGTTTTGGGTTTAGGGTTCTGCCCAGCTTTCTTCATCATTCTTGCCATACTCATGCCATCCTTACAGGAGTTTAGGGTTCATCTTTGTCAGGGTTTAGAGTTTAGGTCTTAGGGCTTATAGAGCTGTAGTCTACCCTCCTTAAAGGGGGTTATATAGGGATTATATAGGGGAGTATTATGGGGGTTATTATGGGGGATGCTAGGAGTTTAGACAGTAGCTCGTATACCGTATACCCTTTGAATACTTGCCTTTGGCCCCAACCCCTGAAAGCACAAATCCTAAGCTTTTCGCCCCGATCGAAAACCCCGAACCCCAAAACAACTGAACAACCCTAAACCCTAAACCCTAAACCCACCTTGACCTTGAAGCCCAGAACCTCAACCCGAAACCCTCAACCCCCTACACCCCTAAACCCTGAACCCTAAATCCAAAAACCTTTCAACCTTTAGCCTCAGACTGGGGGTTTAGGGTTTCGGTTACTCTGTGGATTTGTAGGAGCCTTGGGGTTCAGAACCAAGGGGTGTACTATGGAGGTTATATAGGGATAGTCGAAAGCAAAATGGAAACTATGACTGGGCTGTTGAAAATTGATCTGCAATCTTTACCCAGATTGCCAGATAGCCGGTTTATGGATTGGCAGGTTTACGGGTCGAAAGGGTTGTAAGATTGCTACTGTTGTAGGTCGGGGCCAAAAAATGTAACATGACAAAATGGATGCAGCCGTGCCCCCTAGCCCTTTCAAGTTGTAATTACTCCTTTGCTGATTCATGGATTCACGCGCATTACGGTCTGCGACGGATTGTTTCCCTGGATTGGATCGTCAGATTGCGGATTCAAGTAAGGCCGCGCAATTTTAGAACAGGCCAGCTTAAACCCGTACCCCTAAACCCCTAAACCTCCAACAGTACACCATAAACTTTGGGTCAATCCCCCAGCCCAGTCATGGGTACCACAAGCCATTATTGTAGGTATGATAAGGCCGCCTTAGTAATTAGTGAATCCCACCATTTAGGGGCGATTACCCTGGCGATTACTGTAGGGGTGGGTTTGACCTAACGTGCAGCCTAGACCCTTAACCCTAAACCCTAAACTGAAAACCCTAAACCCTAAACCCTAACACCTTGAACCCTCAGCCCTAAACTCTAAACCCTAAACCCTAAACTCTAAACCCTAAACTCTAAACCCTAAACCCTAAACCCTAAGCCCTTAACCTTAAACCCTAACACCCTAAGCCCTTAACCCTAAACCCTCAACCCTAAACTCTAAACCCCAAACCCCAAAGCCAGAGCCTCAAGGAGCCGCGGAAAGCTCCCGCAGCCCGAAAGCCCGTACAGCGCCGCCCGTGGCACACTGCCCAGGCGTGGGCTCCCGGAGGCTACAGTGAGCTATAGTTTAGGGTTTAGGGTTCAGGGTTTAGGGTTTAGGGTTCTACGTTTAGGGTTTAGAGTTTAGGGTTGAGGGTTTACAGTTTAGGAGGACCCCCCACCCTATAATAGTGGTATACTACGAATATAATAGCACCCTAATATAATCCCTGCTGTTCCTTATACTCACTATTAAAGGGAAGGGGTCCACCTAATATCTAGTCTACGTTCAGTTCCATAAAGGGAGTGATATAGAGGGGATTTTATAGGGGAGTGTTTAGGGGTTGTTATGGGAATACTAGGAATTAAAGCTATAGCTCAATGGTTTCAGGGGTCAGGGATTTGGGAGTCATGGACTTTGCAGGTTCCAGCGCAAGAGGTTCATATAATGGATTTTTTAGATGTTTCTTATGGTGTTTTTACAGAGTTTCATACAGGGCTTACAGGGCTTTATGGGTTTATTAGGGCTTTGAATTTGTAAGGATGACCGATGTTTGTTAAAGCTTTGATCCAGGGTGTTTTCGGCATAGGAGGCATCAGCAAACTTTATTCTTGTCACATGCCCTGTTCTGAAATGCAGGTATCCAAGACCAGTCCTTCGTAGGGCTACTGTAGTTTAGAGCACACATAGACATTTGCTTCGCCAAACTAGCGTGGATTCTCAAAAGAAAGTACTGTCCTTTTTGGAGAGGCTTGCATGGGTTACCATGTTAGTCTGGTCCTGTTGCCAGAATTGTTAGCAACAGGGTGAACCCCCAGGAGCTCTCATGTTCCCGAAGATTGACTAGCCTGCAAGTTTAGCATGGATGTGGCCCTGATGGCTGGGGAGAAAAAAAATGTACCTCCTTGAGATGAGCACAGATTAGGTTCTGTGCAAGGTCCAAAGCTCGCATTACAATCGCCAGCCCCTGAACTCTTAAGTCCGGATGGGTGCGAGGCCACTCCACTGTTATCAATGATGCCACAAATTGCATCCGCCGCGCAGTGTCACAGGCCCAAGCAAAGAGCGGCGGAAGTGAGATCCATTGTGGCCTAGCAGCCTGCCATGTTCAAGCTCGTCCTTGCCGGCTTGGCGGTAGCCCTCTTCCAGGGGGCGGTGTCCCAAGAAATCCCGAAGGCGTTGCGCGGAGGCAGGCGCCTAGAGGACGCCTCGGAGACCCCAGCCGCGACACCGGCCGAGACCCCTGAAGCAACCTCAGCTGAGACCCCTGCAGCGACCCCAGCCGAGACCCCAGCGGAGACTCCAGCCGAGACGCCGGCAGAGACACCCGCTGAGACACCCGCCGAGACGCCGGCGGAGACGCCAGCCGAGGAAGATGGAGGGCTGACGCAGTGGGAGCTGGAATCTCAGCGACTTTCATCAAGTTTTGTTCGCACGGTCACGACGATGAGTGTCCTGTAGTCTCCTTAGAGCCTGAGGAATGATGCTTACGTATGTTTACTTCTTATCATGGTATAACCTCAAGGAATTGTTTATCATATTTGTATTATAGGTCTAGAGGGGCTACAGTGTCCTCCTGCTGATTGAGTCCATATACCGTGCACAACAAGTTATATAAGGGTCTTTTATGTTTTCGAGGTACGTTGGTATACTGACATGACTTCATAGTGATTCTTTTTTTCTGACGGTGACAGGGAGGGTCTGTCCTCATCTCTTGTTGTGGCGACTTTTGAGATACCATCTCTGGCCCCCCACTAAGAACGAGCTGAACCGCGAGTTCATCACCGCAGTCAGGTTGCATGACTACGACAAGGCGGAGACGCTGCTCACTGATGGCGCGGACATTGATGACGTGACCTTCAGCGGACCTCGCTGGACCCCACTGGCAGATGCTTGCGTCGGGCGTGACAATGCTAGGGCGCTCTGGCTGCTCGAGAAGGGAGCGGACCCAGACTTTGCCGACAATCGTGGTCGCACCCCGCTCTACCATGCCGTCCACTACGAGATGCATGATGTTGTGGAGGAGATGCTCAAGACGGCCAAGAATCTCTCACCGCACGACGGCGACGGGGTGGACATGCTGACGAGGGCAGTCTGGCAGAACGATGCCGCGATGGTGGAGATGCTGTTGGAAGCCGGGGCCGAATCTCGTGTCGCAACAGGTGCGGCTGTGAACGCCATCTGGGAGATCCAGACACTCTTCGGCTACACCTCCACCGTTGCACCTCTCGCCACGGAGGCCCCAGCTGAGACGCCCATCATCCCGTGACCGCCTTGCCTTGGGCAGATGACAGACTGCGCAGGAGGCCAACACGAGTACATTTGATCTCCTTGCAGCAGCTGAACACATTGTTCAAATACGCAGCTCTGGGGGACCTGAGCCTCGAACTCTGTCGCTCGACCCAGAGCTGCGGAATTCGCTTGAACCCATGATGCAACAATGTCGCACAGGACGTTGGAAAAGGCCGGCTGAGGCATCATGCAGCTGTCTTGAGGTGGTGCTCTCGAATCCTCATTCATCCGCTCCCTTACCACTATGGGCTATTAGACCCTAAAATTCCCGATTAGGACCCTCATAAGAGTAGAATAGGGCACCCTTAAGGTCTAATAGCCCATCCTGGTCCTACCTGCCAGGAGTCCCGCTCCAGCGAGGCTGCCGGTCCTTGCGAGCCGAAAGAGGAGGCTCAAGTGGGTTTCTCCCAACCCTAAGGCTCCATGTAGGTACTATTTATAGGGTTTAGGGCCCAATGTAGGTATTGTTTATATAGTTAGAGCCCCAGAGTAAAAAGGGATACCCCAAGATATGTACATAGTTCTATATATTATTAGAACAAAGTGCATGTATACTAACATGGATTACTACTATATATAATATCATGAATCATGTAGGGCAGTAGGGCGTAGGGGGTATTGGATGTCCTGAAAGCTTTAGGAGTTAATTTCATAGCTATCCGATTGTCTGACAATCGCGTAAGCAGCATGATTAATGTAGTTGGGGAGGAAACCCTAAACCCCAACCCTAACCCTAAACATCCCTAAACCCTAACCCTAAACCCTACCCCAAAGCCTAAACCCTAAGCCTTCCTTGGGACAGGGGCTGCTTACCGCTTTTGTCAGCTTATCAGAGTGTTGAACTGCAGCACGGCATGCCTCATCTTTTCCTCATACATGGATAGGATTTTATTTGGGGGTATTATGGTACCCAATATAGAGTAACATTATATCCTCCTAGTATTTTTGAATTTATCTAAACCCTAAATACTAGTTTCCATTTTCTCCTCCATTAGCCTTACATAATCCCCATATTCCCACTATATTACTTTATTACCCTTCTATCACCCCTATAAGGCCCATTAACAGGAGGCAGGGGAGTCTACATTAGGGCACAGGCATTTTGACTCCAGCTACTAAAGGGGCATCTGCATTCTGCTCGATGACCTAAGATTTTGATAGATTTTGTAAAGGTTTGGGGTTTGAGGTTTGGGGGGGTTAGGGTTTGAGAGATTAAGGGTTTCTGGTTTGGGGGACTGGGCTTAATTTTGGGCCTTCGGTTCAAAGAGTCGACGCGTTAGCTTGTCCTGGGGAGTAGGGTCAGGGTTCTGAGCCACTCTCACCTGACCTGGGGACAAGCCCTAAACCCCTAAACCCTAAGTTCATAATGTAGATTATTAGCAGCCTTGCCTTTGATTCAGAGGACATTCTGGCTATCGTGGCAGGGGCATGTGCTTGGTTGTTGTGTGCCGGCATGTATAACCAAGGGGATTCGGCTATTGTAGCGTAACGAGACAAATGAGCTGTAGTCTAAACTCCTTAAAGGGGGTTGTATAGGGGGTTATATAGGGAACTACCATAGAGGTTAGAAAGGGGGATACTAGGGATTCAGACGATAGCTAATGGCTTATATAGGGTCCCGACTCTGCTACGGAATGGCGGGACTTCCACAGGTGCTTCCTTGCCCTCCGTTTGCGAAGATGTGGGGTTCCATCGCCGTAGGGATCTTGATTTAAAGGACTATATATGGGGGAGGGGCAAAAAGAGATTCAATAAGTAGCTCGTCCAGAACGACATGCATAATAAGAAAAAGACTCTGTCTATATATGCTTATATTTCTATTTTTACGAATAGATGTGTGTGTACAGTATATCTATATATGCACGTAGATCTATGCATGTATACATACATATATATATATATATCCATTTATAGGTTGTTACAGAATTATGTCGGGGTTCTGAAGCCAGGAGCACTTGCTAGTGATATGGTGGTATCTCACTTTGAAAGTGCAGCTACCTTAGGGTCCTAATTTGGTTGCGGCTACAGCTATCAGATATGCTTGAGCTGCATACCCTGGACCCTAGATGCCTCAGAGACGAAATCCAAAACCCTACACCTCTACCCCTATAAACTCTAAACCCCAAACCCTAAACCCTAAACCCTAATCCCTCTAACCCTCAACTGATGAGACCCCTAAAGCCCCAAAGATGCTTTGCCTGTGAAGCAGTCTTGAATCAGACCTCTGGGAGGATCTAAACATTAGATCACCTATATGAGCTATAGTCTAAACTCCTTAAAGGGGGGTATATAAGGGATTATATAGGGGACTATGGTAGGGGGATACTAGGAGTTTAGACAATGGCTCATATAGACCCATGATAACCCCTATTACATTCTCATAAAAGTTCCCATATGGTTCCAGGGGATCTTATTTTTAGATCTCGGAAAGCCTTCAGCTTGAACTGAAGCCCCACGAAGCCCTAAAATGACCCTATACAACCTCAATACCATCCAAACCTCTACTCTCCACAGTCTGTTTTCAAGAAGATGCCCAGTTTTTTTTCCACGACGGGTTTTGCGGGTTTCGTCTACGCCGGACACCATTTTTTTTTGCGACAAGCGCTTAAAGACCGGGTCCTTCAGAATTACCTGCCTTGAAGTCGGTTCTGGAAGCCACAAGTATGCAATTTCTATATGACAAAACCCTAAATTTTCTGTATATGGCAATCGGTATATACTGTAATCCCTGAGCGCATAAACCCCTCACTACAGCCCTAAACCCCAAACACTGAACCCTATTGAAACCCAAACCCCAACCAAAGCCTGAAAAGCACTTGGCAAGCCTGGCTCGAGCTTTTGTGTCGGATGTGCTCGCTGGTAGCTTAGGGTTCAGGATACAGGGTTTAGGATTTAGTGTTTAGGGCTTAGGGGGGTTGATAGGAGTTTACCCTTACAAGCCCTAGATACTATCACTAGTTTCCGCGGTCCTTTCCATGCCTTGACGTCCTACTACGAGTGTTTAGGGTTTAGGGTTCCCAGACCCCTGGGAGGATCAAAATATTAGATCCCCTATATAGACCCATGATAACCCCTATATAATCTTTATATAATTTCCCATATATAAACCCCTGATAACCCCTAAATAATCCTTATAGAATTTCCCAGATGGTTCTAGGGGATCTTATTTTTAGATCCCTTTGGGGGTTTAGGGTTGGCCATCCGAAAGTGTTGGGGATGGAAACCATCTCCGAGGATCCGGAGATCACGGTTTCTCGGCGTTAGGGTTTAGGGTTTAGGATTTTAGGGTTTAGGGTTGTAGGGCCATTGGGGTTATAATATGTAGGGCTCCTGCATTTGGAGTTGACAAAGTTTAGATGTGATCTTTTTCGGAGGGTGGGGGGATGCGTGGCTTAGGGTTTGAGTTGAGGGGGTTTCATGTTTAGGCCTTTATAGGTTGGGTCATTCTCCCTCCCAGTAACTGTCCTTAAAGGGGCCTTATTAAGGGGGTGGTAACAGTTACTGTAAGGGGGAATGACCCAATTTATTTGGTTCAAAGGGTCTTTGGGGGGGTTTTAGGTAGAGAGACTTGACCTAATTAGGATCCACGGCAGCAGCTACAGCCAAAGGACGGCCTTGGTAGCTTTCCCTAAGGGTCCATGTACCCAATAATTAGGTACTTGGGTTTTGGGTAATAGTAATTTTAGTACAGATTTGGGGTAAGTATATGATTATTGGGTACTTGGACCCTTAGGGTTTTCGCTTACAATCTTGAATCCGCGATCACTGGCCAAGTGAGACGGGGACCGAAATAACTCTCAACATCATGGTCTTAGGTTCCTTGTTAAAGTATGGGGTACCCCCAACGGACCATATGGGCAATTATTCAGGCCGCCGCATGCAACAAGGTTGGTTACAACTACATTTTCCCTTGGGCGCACGTCTTTCGTTTATTCCATGGAAGCTCTTCTGAAAGCACAACAGTCCCTGTTGGGCCCTGTTGTAGGCTTCCACGATAACGTGAGGGAGGTACTATAAGCAGAAGATCATGGGTGCCCCGGCTACCCAGTCTTATAGTTTTCCCCTTAAAAAAAGGTCATGTAAGGATAATACGGTTGACTGAGAAAGGTCGAATGCTAGGATCCTGCTTAGCGGCGAGTGAGCATTCTCAGCATCCTCCGATTTAGGGGTGAAGAGGCCCTTAGCCCTAGGCCGTGATCCCAAATCCCTTTTTCCCCCTTTGCGCCCTGCGTGTTCCTGCCTTGAACAGTGTCGAGATGTGTCGAGTAAGGATTCACACAAGACCGCATTCGAGCGGCACCTAGACGCTTCCTGGCACAGCTTCCGCCAACAGCTGCTGGACACCACGCGGTTGGGTTTGAGCGTTTGCGGGTGACAGGTTGTCGAAGCTTCTTGGGCTTCTTTACCGCGTTAAGACAGAGCCCAGACCCTGTAACGCCTGAAGTGTATGGCTTGAATCCCGTGTTTTAGGCGTTCTCTGCCTCGATTTGGGGACAAGCTGTTCTTCCGAGTCTTCCGAAGTATACGGCTTCCTACTACAGGGACACCCCAGGAGAACTGGAGTATGTTTCTGATAACTACTACTCACAGAAGACTGGGGCCACAAGATCATTCTGCTTTCAGAAACCTCAAGCCCTGCGTAAATAACTCGAGCGGGACCATGGTTTTGAGAACTTCCCCTCGACCTCGCCGAAATCCAGACCCCAAATCCCGACACAGGATGCCTATCCTGCACCGCACCAGACATCCTGGACTTCCAAAGAGGAAACGGGAGTGATTCCGCCAGGCTCAAGGGCCTTGAGTGCAAGGTTTAGAGATGTAAGGCGAAGGGTTCAGGGTTTAGAGCGTAGGGTTTCATCGGGCTGAGTGCTGAGATTTTAAGGTTCAGGGCTGAGGGGTTTGGGCTTAGGGTTCGAGGCATAGGACTTCGGATTTAGGGCTTTAGGGCTTAGGGCTTCCAGACTGCGGCTGTAGGGC